GTTGATACAGCGTCAGCCTGCGGAATGGAAGGTCCTGGGTTCGATTCCGGTCAGGGGCATGTACCTGGGTTGCGGGCACTTCCCCAGTGGGGGATGTGCAGGAGGCAGCTGATGGATGTTTCTCTCTCATCGTTGTTTCTAACTCTCTATCTCTCTCCCTTCCTCTCTGTAAAAAATCAATAATATATATTTTTTAAAAAGAAAGACCTGAAGAAAAGGAAAGGCATACTAGAAACATGAACTGAAAGAATCAACTAAAGAAAGCTGTCAATTTCCCCAAAATTTTTCCCAATTTTTAATGCAGTCCCTATCAAAATCACAGCATGGTGTGTTGTTGTTGTTTTTTTTTCAAAATAGACAAGATTATTCTGAAATTTATATGGAGAGGCATAGTTAGTAGAATACCTAAAATAATCATGAAAAAGAAGAATCAAGTGAGATATTAGGACTTAATATTTATCTATAGTATTCAAAACAATATGCTATCGTGGAGGGATAAACATATAGATTAATGGAACAGAATAGAGAACCCATAAATAGACCTATGCAAATATGCCTAACTGATTTTTTTAATATAATTTTTATTGATTTCAGAGAGGAATGGAGAGGGAGAGAGATAGAAACATCAATGATGAGATAGAATCATTGATTGGCTGCCTCTTGCACAACCCCCATCGGGGGTCAAGCCCGCAACCCAGGCATGTGCCCTTGACTGGAATTGAACCTGGGACCCTTCAGTCCACAGGCCAATGCTCTATCTACTGAGCCAAACAAGCAAGGGCTTCCTACTAGTTTTTGATGAAGTGGCAAAAGAAATGTAATGGAGGAGGAATAGATTTTTTTTGCAAATGTTTCTGGAGCAACTGGACATTCATGAGGCAAAAAGAAAAATGTTGCCTAAGCACATTTTGTATGGTGTATGCCTAAAGCATACAAAAATGAACAAATTAACTCAAATTGGTTGTGGACTTAAATATAAAGCTATAAAACATTTAAAGTAAAATAGGAAAAAAGTTTCAGAATCTAGAGATTAAACTGAGATTAGATTTACCACCAAAAGCACCAAAAAGTCATAAGAGAGAAAAAATTGATAAATTGGACTTTATCAAAATTAAAAACTCTTGCTTTGTAAACAACCTTGTTAAGAAAATGAAAAGACATTCTACACAATGGGAGAAATATCTAAAAGCACATATCCAACAAAGACATTTGTATCTAGAATATATAAAAAAAACTCTTAAATGTCAGCAATAAAAAAAAACAATACAGTTAGAAAATTGGGCTAAAGATATATGCAGACAGATCACTTAAGATTATACACAGATAGCAAATAAGAGAATGAAAAGATACTCATCATTAGCTCTTAAGGAAACATGAATTAAAGCTACAATGAGATATCAGTATACACCTATAAAAAAGGCTAAAATAAGAAATAGCCAACATAAAAAATGATACCAAGGATGTGGAGAAATTGCATCACTGATACAATGTTGGTGAGAAAGTAAAATGGTACAGCTACTATAGAAAATAGTTTGGCAATCTACACTAATAAAAGACAAAGATGCTAATTGACCTGACCTTTGCTACACTCTAAGCCATGCCCACCAGCCAATCAGAGCGGCTATATGCAAATTAACCCAACCAAGATGGCGGCTGGCAGCCACGGAGCTGGAGATAGCCGGAGGCTTGGTTGCCTGGGCAATGGAGGAAGCCAAGCTTCCCGCCAGGTCTGAGCCAGCTGTGGCCTCTGCGAAAGGCAACGAAGTTTCAATTATAAAAGCTAAATAAATCCCAGATACCTGCTTCCAGTCAGCCTCCACTGGGAGCTGGGATGGCTGGAAGCTTGGCCAGCCTGCAAACAGCCATCAGCCCCTCACCCAGGCTGGCCACACCCTCATGGGGTGAGGGTCCCCACTGGGGGGCTTAGCTAGCCTGAAAATGGCCCTCAGCCCCTCACCCAGACTGGCCAGGCCCTCCAGCAAGACCCCCCATTCTGAAGGGACTGTGGCCAGTCTGAAAATAGCTATCAGCCCTTCACCCAGGATGGCCAGGAGCCCTATGGAGGACCCCCACCCTCAAGGGGCTGTGACCAGCCTGCAAACAACCATCAGCCCCTCACCCAGGCTGGCCAGGAACTCCTATATAATAAAAGGGTAATATGCAAATTGACCCTAACAGCAGAATGACTGGGAATGACTGCTCACTATGACACACACTGACCACCAGGAGGCAGATGCTCAATGCAGGAGCTGCCCCCTGGTGGTCAGTGCGCTCCCACAGGGGGAGCTCTGCTCAGCCACAAGTCAGGCTGACTGCTGCCAGTACAGCGGTGGTGGTGGGAGCCTCTCCCGCCTCCTCAGCAGCACTAAGGATATCCGACTACAGCTTAGGCCTGCTCCCCGCTGGCACGTGGACATCCCCCGAGGGCTCCTGGGCTGCCAGAGTGATGTCTGACTGCCAGCTTAGGCCCAATCCCCCAGGGAGTAGGCCTAAGCCAGCAGGTGGTCATCCCCCAAGGGGCCCCACACTGCGAGAGAGCACAGGCTGGGCTGAGGGACCCCCCCTGAGTGCACAAATTTTTGTGCACCGGTCCTCTAGTTTCTTATAAAACCAAATATGCAACCGTATATCACCCAGCAATTGCACTCTTAAGCATTTACCCCAGAGAAATGAAAATCACGTTCACCCAAAAATCTGTACAATAATATTCAAGTGACTTAATTCATAATAGCCCCAAACTGGAAACAGCTCAGATGTCCATTAAAGGATGAATGGTTTAAAAAAATGTATATCTCTGCCAATAAATACTACTCAGCAATACAAAGGAACAAACTTGATACATTGACAACTTGAATGAATCTCCAGGGAATTATGCTGAGTATAAAAAGCCAGTGCCAAAGGATTATATATTGTATGATTCCATTTATATAGTACTAGGGGCCCGGTGCACGAAATTCGTGCACTGGGGCGGGGGAGTGTCCCTCAGCCCAGCCTGCCCCCTCTCACATACTGGGAGCCCT